GAACTATTGGTGGTATTCTAATAAAATTGGTGTCCTATGGAAGCTAAGAAGTCTGGCTATTTCGATACATGCTCCTAAATTTATAAATATGAAATGTTATATACCAAAATTTATTTTAAATTATATCTTTAAAAAATACACTCTGAAATAGATTTTTAAAATAAATGTTGTCGATACTATAATAAAGACATCATTTCGCCCTTTAATATGACACCTTATTTGTGTTAATAGAGCACTTATTCGCTGAGTTATTTGCATTTGAATTTAACGATGCTACGAAATAGGCTTACTGTTCGCTGCTGGGCGCCTATTACCTGAAAATGAAAAACCACACAAAAATCGGTCTTTTAAAAACTGCAATTTTTCCATGCCTGCTGGGTTGTTTGTAAAGAAATTGTAGCATACTTTTAGGCCAAAAATAGTTCGAAGTTCACCAATTGTTCTTGATATGTAAGTAGAAATGTTTGAGATTTATTTATGCACATATGTAATGTAAAACATATATGTATTTACTTACACATACATACCAGTAGCTGTTAAGAAGAAAAAAAAAACTTTCCATTTTTACAAGATTGATTTTTGTGTGGTTTTTCATTTTCTGGCAATATGCGCCCAGCATCGAACAGGAAGTATATTTGGGAGCATTTTAGATTTCAAATGCAAATATCTCTGGAAATACTTAACCGATTTTTATAAAATTTGCAGCAATGGTTAGAGGGAAATCTAAAGTTTTTTTTGCATATACCGAAGTTTTAGAAACTCCTACTAGAACGTCACAAAAAATACTAAAAAGAACTTAATAAGCTATAATTTTTAGTTGGCTACCCGTTCGCCAAACTAGAACACTTAAATTTGGAGTAATAATAAGTATACCGATCGTCATATATAATTTGTAAACATGATACAGGCCACAGTTATGAACCAATCTTCACGAAATTATGCATGTAGGATGGGTTCTGTCCAATGAAAACTCCTATTGCTTTTGGTAAAGATCGATTAATATTTAGGGGATAAATGGACCAAATAATTAATTTTTGTCGCTCCAGAAGCCGCAATTATGGCCCGAACGTCGTGAAATTTTACATGGAGAAGGGGATCGGGACAAAGATTGAGTATGACTGTTTTGATAAAGATCGTTCAATATTTAGCGGGTCAAATGACCGCTGACTTTTGTGTGAAAAATTACAAAATTTGTATTCTATATTTACTCCTGAAGGACATAGACCCGGGAAGTGGATAGAATATCCAAGAGGAGTGGTTGCCCTTTAAATTGATAACAATTATTTATGTACTCGGATGTGGGAGTTTCACTTAAATATTTACAGGTGCTTACGTATTGATATATCATTTAGTAACCCATTAACACACTAGAGTGCAACCATAACCCTGATCGATTCGAAATTTTGCATGAGGTTCCAGTTATGGGCAAGAACAACGCCTATAATTTTCGGTGATGATCAGATAATAATATTGGGATGAAGTGGACCGAAAACAAATTTGTTTCTGTTTTTTTTTCGAGTCGGTCTATAGGCAACAATTATAAGCCGAACATTACCACACAACCCACGGTGTAGGGAATATGGACAAGGAAGAAGAAGGACTGTACTGAATTAATAATATTCGGAAAATATGTCAATGTAAGGAAGGGCTGCTGTTAATCTCAAACCGGTCAAGATGATGCAACTAACACTAAATATTGCCCAGACTTCGAATAAACATCCGCATAAAGTTAGAACTCCGTGGTAATTGTGTAGTATATCTTATGGTCGGCCTCGTCCGACTATACTGCTCCGCTCACTGGATTTTAAATATTTATCATGGACTTTATGAGCGTGTATATTTTTCTAATTTTTTTAATGGACTATATGATGTTACCCTTCACCACTCTGTGGTACAGGGTATTATGTCTTTGTGCATATGTTTGTAACAGGCAAAAGGTTCCTTTTGAGAATATGCATAGAATCACTTTCTAAGTCGATTTATGCATGTCCGACCGTCCGTCTTTCTGTCCATGTTAAATTGTAAACACAGTACTGGTCGCATTTATAATCCGAATTGGATGAAATTTGACATAGGTCACTTAATTGGCTCAAGGACGAACCCTATTGAAATTGGAATAAACCGGTTCAGATGTGTATATAGCTCTCATATATATTTTCGTCTGATTTAATGTAAACGGTCTCTATATATCTTTCAATTAACACGAAATTTGGTACAGCGTAATGAATTAGGTCTAGAATGATGTGTGTTTAGTTTCATGGAAATCGGTTCAGATTTAGATATAGCTCCCATATATATTTTCGTCCGATTTTAGGTAAATAGTGTACCAAAGTCCTTCGATTTGCACGAAATTTGTCATATCGTACTGAATTGAGACTAGAGTGATGTGTGCTAAGTTTCGTGAAAATCGGTTCAGATTTAGATATAGCTCCCATACATAGTTTCGTCCGATTTTAGGTAAATGGTGCACCAAAGTGCCTATATATCCTTCGATTTGTACGAATTTGGTACGGTGTACTGAATTGGGTCTAGAGTGATGTGTGTTAAGTTTCGTGAAAATCGGTTCAGATTTAGATATAGCTCCCATATATATTTTCGTCCGATTTAATATAAAATATGTACCAAAGTCCCTACATATCTTTCGATTTGCCCGAAATTTGGCATAGCGTACTGAATTGAGACTAGAGTGATGTGTGCTAAGTTTCGTGAAAATAGGTTTAGATTTAGATATAGCTCCCATTTATAGTTTCGTCCGATTTAATGTAAATGGTGCACCAAAGTGCCTATATACCTTTCGATTTTTACGAAATTTGGTATAGTGTACTGAATTAGGTCTAGAATGATGTGTGTTAAGTTTCATGAAAATCGGTTCAGACTTAGATATAGCTCCCATATATATTTTCGTCCGATTTTAGGTAAATAGTGTGACAAAGTCCTTATATCCTTCGATTTGCAAAAAATTTGGCATTGCGTACTGAATAGAGTCTAGAAGACGTGTGTCAAGTTTCGGAAAAATCGGTTCAGATTTCGATATAGCTCCCATAAGTATTTGTAAATGGTGCACTAAAGTCCGTATATAACATTCGATTTGCACGAAATTTGGCATAGCGTACTGAGTGAGGTCAAGAGTGATGTGTGTTAAGTTTCGTAAATATCTGTTCAGATGTAGATATAGCTCCCATATATATTTTCGTCTGAATTTATGTAAATGGTGCACCAAAGTCACTATTTATCCTTCGATTTGCACGAAATGAATTGAATTTTTTGAGGCTTGGATTTGTTTTAAAATATTTTTTTCGTAGACTTACTTACCTATCTTATTTTTCACATTCGAATAAAAAAACAAATTTCAAAATTATTGTTTAAAGATATCTTTGCAAATTGTATTTTAACACATTTCCGTTTTTTTCTCAATTCACTTATCAAATATTTACACAAATACACAGATACATACATACGTTGTTTTTTATACAATAAAGTGAGTTTAAAAAGGTGTACTTGTACCAAGTCATATTTTTTTATTATTAAATATACTTAAAAATAATTATAATTTTTCTATTACTTAAAAAAATATTAATTTCATTAAAAAAATCTATTATTTAAACTAAAAACTGAGTTGAAGCGTTTTACTTAAAACTGTACACACACAGAAACAAAAGTGTAGCTCTCTAAGAGTAAAGATCGATTTACAGTGAAGGTTCATTAAAAGTTTACAACTACATGGATAAGCAACCATATTTCTGTTTTGGTGGTGTGGGTGAATTTTCAAATAAGAAATGAAAATAGTTTTGTTGTTGTTGTTTTTTATTTTTTCCTTAAGTTTACAACAAAGAAATTCTTGGTGAACAACCAATTTACACATTTTTATTTAATGAAGATTTCGATTAGTTAGGGTAGGGTGGGTGGCAGTTTGAAGGGTGAGGTGGGTAAGGGGTGAACGGTGTGTGTCACAGGGTGATTGGTAAATGTTTGGTTATTCGCTAATGAATTTTCTTTTTAGCTGCAAGTGGTTTGTGGCAGGGGCCTAAGGGGAAAGGTGAGGGGATAGATCATCTAAAGTGAATCTTCAATTAATGTGGTCTCAAGTAAATTTAAATTATTTTTATTATTTGTTGTCACCAAAACCACTCCAGATGCTGGACCTGACCCGAAACTACTACTACCACTACTAGCCTCTCTCACTGTATCACTGTTCGGGGACTTAGTGGTTGTTGTTGGAGGAAATCCTTTTGTATGGCAGGAGGAAGCGGTTAAGGGGATTACTGGCTGGGTTAAATTGTTGCTGATTGTATTGCCATTGATAGATGATGTTGGCGGCGTGGGTGTTGTTGTAGTACATCGCGGCATTGAGGTTAAATAGGATATTGCTGAGGGCATTGTTGTTGCTGTTGTTGTGGCGTTGCATGTCGACGCCATTGCGGTTGTTGCTGATAGAGCAACTAAATCTGTCGTTGTATTGTTGGAACTAAAATTTCCAGGAGATGTCGTCATTGGCATTTGGTTTAGAATAAAATTTGCAGATTCCTTTGAGGCGGCTGGACATGGTGTAGTTGATGTCATTGTTGTTGCTGTTAGTCTTTTACTACTACCTTTTTCATCAACATTCGCATCATCCGCAACCTGAATGGCACCATCGTCCAGTTCTTCCTCAATTGTGTTAGTCACAAGGGTGGTGGCAAGGGTGCCCCTGTCGTTGGCATTAATAACTGTTGTCATTTCCATTAAAACATCAGTGGCATTTGCATTCGTTGTTGTCGCCGGTGTAGTAGTACTGGTCTGCTGGTGTGGATGTTGATGTTGTGGCGTCACCGACACCGCCTGCGACTCCTCCATCAATGGCTGGCGTATCCGTGAATTATCCATGGTGCTGCGGCGACGAAAAATGTGCACATTTCTCAGGCCATTTAAAATACCAATCCGCCCTCGACTACCACGATGTTGCATAGCTGCTGGGGAATGACCAAAGTCACCGGGTTGCTGCTGTTGTGCCATGATGGCACTACTGTGAGATCTTTGACGTTGATGCTGATGATGGCGCTGGTGTCCTTCACCGCCCATCGACGAGGACGACATCACAGCACTCGATGCCCGCCTTTTGCCAGCCAATGACGACATCTCTTTTAGTCATACCTTCTCCTCGCCGGGCAGGGTGGGACCGCAGCGTACGAACTGAAATCAAAAGAACTAATATTTTTGGTATATAAACTCGCAAAGATAACTGCAATAGAAGTCGTTGTTGTTGGTGGTGTTATCTTTTTTTTTTGTAATACGAAAAAGCCAATTTGGATGAAATGGTGGTGATGATGATGATTATGAGGTTAAAACCAAAATAAAATTTAATAAAATGCAAAAAAGCGGTTCCAAGAGCAAAGCTTTTTAGAAAATGAGCAACGAAACCCTAAGAAAATTAAAATCAAGTACAAAGAACAGAACATAAAAAGCAATTTTTAACAGAGAATTTTTCAAAAAATATTTTTTAAGCAAGGATTTATTAAAAATGTTTTTTCGTCGGTTCGGTTCAGATTTAGATATAGCATCCCTATACATATATTTTCGTCTGATTTTATGTAAATGCTGCATCAAAGTTTTCATATATCTTTCGATTTGCACGAAACTTGGCATAGCGTACTGAATTAGGCCTAGAATGACGTACGTCATGTTTCGTGAAAATCGGTTCAGATTTAGATATAGCTCCCATATGTAGTTTCGCCCGATTTTAGGCAAATGGTGCACCAAAGTCTCTGAAAATCATTCGATTTGCACGAAATTTGTCATAGCGTACTGAATTAAGCCTAGAATGATGTGTGTTAAGTTTCGCATTAGATTTCGATATAGCTCCCATATATATTTTTGTCACATTTTAGGTAAATGGTGCACCAAAGTCCCTATATATGTTTCGATGTGCACGAAATTTGGTACAGCGTACTGAATTAAGTCTAGGGTGGTGTGTGTCAAGTTTCGTGGAAATCGGTTCAGATTTAGATATAGCTCCAATATATATTTTCGTCCGATTTTATGTAAATGCTACACCAAAGTCCCTATTTGTCCTTCGATTTGCACGACATTTGGTATAGCGTACTGAATTGAGTCTGGAATGATGTTTGTTAAATTTCCTGAAAATCGGTTCAGATTTCGATATAGCTCCCGTATATATTTTCGTCCGATGTTATGTAAATGGTGCACCAAAGTCCCTATATATCCTTCGATTTGCACGAAATTTGGCATAGCGTACTGAATTAAGTCTAGAATGTTGTGTGGTAAGTTTTGGGAAAATCGGTTCAGATTTAGATATAGCTTCCACATATATTTTCGTCCGATTTTAGGTAAATGGTGCACCAAAGTCCCTATATATCCTTCGATTTGCACGAAATTTGGCATAGCGTACTGAATTGAGTCTGGAATGATGTTTGTTAAATTTCCTGAAAATCTGTTCAGATTTAGATATAGCTCCCATATATATTTTCGTCCGATGTTATGTAAATGGTGCAACAAAGTCCCTATATATCTTTCGAGTTGCACGAAATTCGGCAAAGCGTACTGAATTGAGTCTAGAACGACGTGTGCTAAGATTCGTGAAAATCGGTTCCGATATAGATATAGCTCCCATATATATTTTCGTCCGATTTAAGTTAAAGGGTGCAGCAAAGTCCCTATATAACTTTCGACTTGCACGAAATTTGGCATTGCGTACTGCATTAAGTCTAGGGTGGTGTGTGTCAAGTTTCGTGAAAATTGGTTCAGATTTAGATATAGCTCCCACGTATACATACATATATTCGTCCGATTTTACATAGATGGTGCACAAAACTCCTAATGTTTATACGATATGAAAACGAAATTTTTAACAACGTATGAAATTGAGACTTGAATAATGTTATGGCGTTTTGCTGCAATTGATGCAGCCATAGCTTCCATATGTATTTCGAACGGGTGTCTGATTGAGATTAAAATTTTGAATAGTGCGGTGTATGAATAGCGTGTATCTAATTTTCTATAAATTCGTTTCCATAAATATAACCCATAGTACGCAGAAAACCCTAAACTCAAATTATTTTCTTTTTAAATTAATTTAATTTAAATAAATCACTTCCCTTGAAAAATTCCGCTTCATTTCTATTAATCTAAGTAACCAATTAAGCAATTTAATCTAAAGTATTCCTTTGATTAATTGATTATTTTCACACGCCAATTACCAGATCTTGTTAAAAATTTGCCCCATTTTTCAATTCAATGATTTTTGAAAGCCAAAGCATTTAAATTACAAAAATAATAATTTAATTAAAGCATAGCTTATGGTAGCGAGTGCGAGGGGGTGCGGAAATGGAAAGCAAAATATAGAAGAACATCTTATTGAGAAAAGTGAATGTGATTGAAAGAAAGACAGCCGACACTTACACGCACACACACATAAGTATACAAAATCTTACCGAGACCTGAGTGGCTGTGTATGAATTGGCCCGTGGTCGATTACTGAGGAATGCAGTGCGCCAGCGGCGCTTTACCTGGGCGATAACTTCACCGTTGCAGAAACAGAACAGCGTGGCGACGCAGAGGCCCTGGAAGTAAAAGAAGAAGAGGGAAAAACGGTGTTAATTAAAATAATGAGGAAAATCAATGGAAAATATATAAAGATGATTAAAATCCAGTTGGTCCTCGAAATATTTTTTTCAAAATCCACGGCACTGTGGGTCACTGAAAAGATATTTCAAAAAATTCTCGCTTCTAGTACATCATACACTTATTAATTACATACGATATATATTTTTCAATTCTAAGCTCCTGGTAGATCCTGAAAATTATTATTCACGTGTCTACTCTTCTTTGAAAAAAATTTCGTTAAAAAATCCGTAGTAGCCCCCACCTTATCATAGAGGTAAGAAAAAAATAAAATTACGCTAATCGCTATTTGCCACATTTAAAAAGCGCTCATACCCATCAGAAAAATTCTTGTTTTTTTTTTTTTCTTCGTTAAAATTCTTTGTAATCAACACAGCAGTAAATAGAGTAAAACATCCTGAACAAAGAAAAGAAAACCAGAAAGAATCCACAAAAAAGCAACAACCAACAAATAAAGTGCTTAACGCTGAATCCAACATCCGTGGCAGCAGACGGCAATGGGAATACGATAAAGAATTCCATTTGGCACACAGTGAATGGCTTAACCCGAAAGCGACCACATTTCAGGGCAGAAGTAAGCCCTACAAGTAAAATATGGAGGGAAATGAAAAACAAAACCCAGAACAGGAAAGGAAGAACGTGCGGAAGAAAGGACTCAAGCAGCATGCTTATGATTGTGAAGCTTATGGCTAGGTTTGCCAGTTTTTGTGAAAAAATAACAGCTGGTTTTTTGTTAGTTTTTTTTCATCCGCTCAGTACATTTTGTGCTTAACATAATATAAGGCTTAAATTATTTTGGCAATTACATCCCAAAATGGTGTTTATTCAGTACATAATAATTAAAAAAATGTTTGCAGAATTGTTTACAAATTACAATAAAAGCCTTAAAAAATATTCTTTATAAACTCCACGCCTTGGGTGGAGCATTGAAAAAATAATCTATAAACCAGTGAGCGGAGCAGTATAGTCGGACGGAGTCGACAATTCGATACCCTAAACAACTATCTCGGAACTCTAAATTTCTGCGGATGTTTATTCCGAGCCTGACCTATATTTCGCAATATTTGCACCCTTTTACCTGATTAGAGGTCAGCAGAACCTCTTCCTAACACTGATATATTTTCCCAATATTACTAATATTCAGTACAGTCCTTCTAATTACTTGTCCATATTCCCTTCACCATGGGTTGTGTTCTGATGTTCGGCTTATAACTGTGACCTTAGATCGACTGGAAAAAACTCAAAAAATTAAGTTTTCGGTCCACTTCATCCCAAAATTATTATCTGATCACCACCAAAAATATAGGCGTTGTCTTTGATCATAACTGGAATCTCATGGAAATTTCAAAGCGATCAGCGCTATATTTCCGCCCTAAAGTATGGTAATGGGTTACTAAATAATATCTCAGTACGTAAGCACCTGTAAATATTTAAGTGTAACTCCCACATCTGAGTACATACGACCATATAAATGGTATAAATTTAAAGGTCAACCACTCCTCTTGGATATACTATCAACTTTGCGGGTCTATGTTCTTCAGGGGTAAATATATATGCCATAGAATACAGGGTCCATTTGACCCTCTAAATATTGACCGATCTTTATCAAAACAGACAAGCTTATTCTTTGGCCCAATGCCTTTTTCCATGGAAAAATTCGGTGTTTGGGCCACAATTGCGGCATCTGGAGCGGCCAGAAAATCTGATAAAAATAAAGTTGTTGGTCCATTTCAACCCCTAAATATTAATCGATCTTTTCCAAAAACAATAGGGGTCTTCATTGGCCAGAACCCATCCTACATGCAAAATTTCGTGAAGATTGGTCCATAACTGGGGCCTTTATCATGTTTACAAATTATAATGTTTACAGATTGACGGACGGACACACGCGTCTAGATCGACTAAGCTAATCGAGATATGACGATCGGTACACTTAAAGGTGGGTCTAGGACAAATATTTCGCGGCGTTACAAACTTTTGGGGCCGCAAAAAGCTATAATACCCTGACAACATAGTTGTGTAGGGTATAAAAATCCACGCCTTGTGTGGAGCCTTGAGAAAATATTCTTTATAAAATCCACGCCTTGTGTGGAGCCTTGAGAAAATATTCTTTATAAAATCCACGCCTTGTGTGGAGCCTTGAGAAAATATTCTTTATAAAATCCACGCCTTGTGTGGAGCCTTGAGAAAATATTCTTTATAAAATCCACGCCTTGTGTGGAGCCTTGAGAAAAATATTCTTTATAAAATCCACGCCTTGTGTGGAGCCTTGAGAAAATATTCTTTATAAAATCCACGCCTTGTGTGGAGCCTTGAGAAAATATTCTTTATAAAATCCACGCCTTGTGTGGAGCCTTGAGAAAATATTCTTTATAAAATCCACGCCTTGTGTGGAGCCTTGAAGAAATATTCTTTAAAAAATCCACGCCTTGTGTGGAGCCTTGAAAAAATATTCTTTAAAAAATCCACGCCTTGTGTGGAGCCTTGAAAAAATATTCTTTAAAAAATCCACGCCTTGTGTGGAGCCTTGAGAAAATATTCTTTAAAAAATCCACGCCTTGTGTGGAGCCTTGAAAAAATATTCTTTAAAAAATCCACGCCTTGTGTGGAGCCTTGAAAAAATATTCTTTAAAAAATCCACGCCTTGTGTGGAGCCTTGAAGAAATATTCTTTAAAAAATCCACGCCTTGTGTGGAGCCTTGAAAAAATATTCTTTAAAAAATCCACGCCTTGTGTGGAGCCTTGAAGAAATATTCTTTAAAAAAATCCACGCCTTGTGTGGAGCCTTGAAGAAATATTCTTTAAAAAAATCCACGCCTTGTGTGGAGCCTTGAAAAAATATTCTTTAAAAAATCCACGCCTTGTGTGGAGCCTTGAAGAAATATTCTGTGGATCCTTATTCTTTAAATCCTTGTGTGAAGCCTTGAAGAAATATTCTTTAAAAATTCCACGCCTTGTGTAGAGCCTTGAAAAAATATTCTTTAAAAAATTCACGCCTTGTGTGGAGCCTTGAAAAAATATTCTTTAAAAAATCCACGTATTATGGAAGCCTTGAAAAAATATATTTGATAAATCCAGGTTGGTTAGCTTGTCTCTCTATTACGTTAGTACTTGCATTATAATTTTTCTTATCTTCCTTGCTATTTATTTCATTCCGTTCTTCTTCTTAACTGTTGTTTTGTATTTAAAGTAAATAAAAACAACAAAAACTACATTTCATAAAAGCCTTCCTCTGTTTCTCATCCACCCTTCTTAACTGCATACAAAGAAACGGCAGACTGAATAATGCAGAACTTCGTTTACAGGATAAAGACTCCTTTATCCTTTGCATATGCGTTAAACAAATTGAATAAATAGAGAAAGGAAACATTTAGAGTAATAATAATGCTCCGTTAGTTGAAGGAATGAATAGAATGGCAATTTCAAAAGGAATGTTTTTTGAAAAAAAAAAAATTTTCGTACGACGGGACATGCTTAACAAAAATGTCGGATGTTCCTTGGAACAATTTTAAACAAATTCACATAGGAGAGAAGCAGGGATAGGATAATTGCAAATAGTTTAAAGATAGACTTTATTGAGACTATATATATAAAAAAGTACACCCTAAAGGTCGGCTACAGATATATTATCTAGGGAAGGCATGTATGAAACAATTAGTCCTGCCAAATCGAATTTGTATAAGAATACAAATATTTCTAAAAAAATATTTTTATTTTTTTTTCTGCCAGCATTGTTGCATCTTATTTTCAACCCTCTCCAGCTGATGACTGCTGACAATGCTGATAAATGTTTTCCCATTTAAGAATTGAATTGATGCCATTTACATGTGGTTTTTAAACACTCAACGTCAAGTGGTTCTATCCTGATATTAAAAGCAGAAGGTAGCAGCAAAACAAATGGTTTTTAAGTTCTGCAATATATCTTCGTAATTTCAGATGCACAAGCAGTCAGTCGGTATGCAAATGCATTTCCCCACAATGAAAAAACAAAATTCACTCACACACACACACATTCACAATAATATTTGCTCATCATGTGAAATATTGTATTTGTCGAGGAGCAGCATGTGGAACTGAAATAAAAAAAATAAAAAATATATATCGTCTTACTGAAACTTCAAAAGTTTCATCTGGCTGCTGCTATCTTATCTACTTATTCAGAGTCATAAATGTGTGTGTGTATGTATGTGAGTCGCATAATAGATAGATAGCATGGGGAATGGCATGAAATATGCATGCACAATTTGTATAAATGTAAAATAGAGTTTTATTGCAATCTGTTAGTGTGTGGATGCTAACATGCGTTAAGCTTAAATACAAATACATATATCATTATGCAAAATTATAACGACAGGAAAAAACATCGACTATATAAAAAAATAAATCTGTATTATCTTGCACTTAGTGGGTTATGATTTGGGATCATAAAAATGGGAATAATAAACAGATATTTTGTAGAGAACACCGATATTTTGTAGAGAACACAAGGCTTCACACAAGGCGTAGATTTTTTAAAGAATATTTTATCAAGGCTCCACACAAGGCGTAGATTTTTTAAAGAATATTTTATCAAGGCTCCACACAAGGCGTAGATTTTTTAAAGAATATTTTATCAAGGCTCCACACAAGGCGTAGATTTTTTAAAGAATATTTTATCAAGGCTCCACACAAGGCGTAGATTTTTTAAAGAATATTTTATCAAGGCTCCACACAAGGCGTAGATTTTTTAAAGAATATTTTATCAAGGCTCCACACAAGGCGTAGATTTTTTAAAGAATATTTTTCAAGGCATTGCCAAGAATAGTTTTACAAGGCTCCACACAAGGCGTGAATTTTTTATACTCTTCACCACACTGTGGCACAGGGTATTATGTCTTTGTGCATATGTTTGTAACAGGCAAAAATAATCGAGATAGACCCATGGTTCCTTTTGAGAATATGCATAGACTCACTTTCTGAGTCGATTTATGCATTCCGTCCATCTGTTGATGTTAAATTGGACAAATTAGTGGTCGCATTTATGATCCGATTCGCATGAAATTTGGCACATGTCACTTATTTGGCCCAAGGACGAACCCTATTGGAATTGGAAAAAATCGGTTCAGATTTAGATATAACTCCCATATATAGTTTTGTCCGATTTAACGTAAATGGGGTACCAGAGTGCCTATATATCTTTCGATTTACACGAAATTTAGTATCGCCTACAGAATTAGGTCTAGAATGATGTGTGCTAAGTTTCGTGAAAATCAGTTCAGAGTTAGATATAGCTCTCATATATAGTTTCGCCCGATTTTAAGTAAATGGTGCACCAAAGTCCCTAAAAATCATTCGATTTGCACGAATTTTGGCATAGCGTATGAAATTAAGTCTAGAATGATGTGTGCTAAGTTTCGAGAAAATCAGTTCAGATTTAGATATAGCTCCCATATATAGTTTCGCCCGATTTAAGGTAAATGGCGTACCAAAATCCTTATATATCTTTCGATTTGCACGAAATTTGGTATAGCCTACTGAATTAGGTCTAAAATGATGTGTGTTGAGTTTCCTGAATATCGGTCCAGATTTAGATATAGCTCCCCTATATATATTTTCCTCCGATTTAATGTAAATGGTGCACCAAAGTCAATATATATCTTTCGATTTGCACGGCATAGCGTAATGAATTAGGTCTAGAAGGATGGGTGTGTGGTAATTTATGGTCACCCAAATTAGTTGTTTTATTTTATTACTAAGTGGTTTGCTGGGATGCAGCACATTACAATTCCCAGTATTTTGATTTTTATTCTTGTTCTCTTTCACTGCACTCGTATGAACAGTCAAATTTGTATACCCTCCAAAAACACCTATTGGTATTTAGCCAACGCACATATAAATATCTATGTGGTCCAGCGGAAGAGCGCCTGCTCGCCGTTCAGTAGGTCCCCGGTTCGATCCCCAGCTGGGACGAAACAATTTTCTTTTCGACATTTATCCATACAGTTGGAGACTTTTGGGACAATTGATATGTATGTAACAGAGAGTATTTGCTGCGCTCTCTCTTACTTACAATCTATGATAGTGTGTGTTGTAATATTGAGTGAGTTCACTTACGTACCCGTTACTAGTGGTGAAGATCACCAATGACAATATTAGGAGATCTAATTGTTATTCTCTGGTGTACCCATAATTAATGGAGAAGATCACAGCATACTCGGATTTTCATATGAAGCCTTAGTATTCTCTCGCGTAACCGTTACTAGTGGTGAAAACTGTAATGGATTGAGTTAGTGTCTTCCTAAAAGTTCGTTTAGCTTAGCGTATTTCTTTCGCATTTTTGGCTTAACAGCAATAAGACGTAGCTACCCAAAGGAAATACAGTGATTGTGAAAAAAGTGAAAATTTATAAAAGTCCACATTTATAAAGTTAAAAAAATTGTAATTAAAATCCATAAATATTTTCGTCATCAACGAGTTTTTTAATAAAATTACTATTGAATATTTTTGGAAACCGGTTGCATTAATAGCATAAATGGTAATTTCGAGAATAAAATTATAATTTAGCCACATTTTTAACCGTCGAATTTCATAGTTTATCCACAGACTTTGGTCTGATTGTCTGAGTATTGTTGGCAGCTGCTATCGTTTGGCTTATGAAAAACCCCAATCCTCAAAATTCAGCAGTAATTACCATCTTTGTAACAAATCATATTTGGGTAAGAATTAAAAATTCTAGAAAAAAATAAGTTACCAACAATATTTACTCTTTCAACGTCTAGATTTTGACATTTTATCCATCGTTTATGGCATATTGGTATGCTTCTTTGGCCGTAAAAGAGAATATAATTTGTATTCCGCCATATAGATTAAGTTTACTACATATTTTAAATGGTAGAATTGTGTAATTGATCACCTAAAACCAAAAAAATGCACTAAAGTAAACGAAAATAATACAACAACAAAAATTAATGAAGGTTACAACTCCAGCTATTGGGTTACCCATAAAAAAATCCAATACCCGAAAAAAAAATCTATTCTAACATTACCAGATCAAGCGGCATGGAAAAGGTTAATTTCTGATGTGCACATTTATTGTCATATGAACCACTGTGCGAATTAGAACTTTGGCGCAAAGAGAAAACGAAGAAAAATAACTGACCAATTACAGCGCAATTCAAATCTAAAAATAGATATTATATCAAGTACTGGTTTACATATTGCCAATGTCAGTGGGTCACTTTAATACTGCATGAGAAGGCGAAAACCTCAATTAACCACCACAACGACAGCAACCACGGTAGCCTAGTCGGCTAGCCGGTTCTGCACACAAACATCAACACCATCACCAAGGTCGTGGGTTCAAACCCCGCCTGAGGCAAATTGTACTTATAATATTTAGAAATATTAAAATTCATGATAAGTATTTAGAAAAACTTTATTAGGATTAATATCAAAATCCTAAACATATGCAACAAATGTTAACTCCTCTAATGATCCTCATTAAGTCCTTACAGCTAAACACACATACACATCAACACATACATTCACACATACAACACCCATACATACATCATCGAGGCCTCGGCGATCATCTATGGAGATGTAAGAAAAAGGATCAAAAAGGATATCCTAAAAACCTAAAAAAATTGCGTGAGTTTTTAACTATAACAATTGTATCATGTAGAAGTTAAAATTGTTGCATATATTTAAATTTATTTATCTTCCTACTGCCTTAATTTTTTTATAAAACTAAATTAATTTTTGAATAACTTCAAAAAAGGATAATTTTGATGACTATCATTTAAATTGCGTATTTATATTAAATAACATTATGGACAGATCATATTCTGCCACTATACTTTTCTAATTTCAAGATGTCTTTTTTTCCCGTAATAAAGAAAAAAACCGAAAACGCAAAGTAAATGAAAGATATCAATATTAGTCCTTAAAATACTCAATTTTTTTTATCTATAACACGAATTCTACTGCGAGATAAATCTAAATTTAAGCCCCTTGAAAATCTACCTAATCTAATAATCTGTCCACATTGAGATATAAGATAAAATGAATTCTCAACTCTATCTTTTTATATGCCTATTGAAAGGCTGATCTGTTTTGTTTGTATTAACTTTGGAATCACCCAGAAGTTATTATTATTGAAATATATCTTATGTTATTAACAACATGAATCTTTAAAAACTTCTCTGTTCTTACTTGAGGTGAGGTAAACAAGGGTAAAACCTGTGTTTGGGGTCTCAACCATTTCTTTCGCCACTGAGACCATGGAAGGGTAGGGTTTTGAGGCACGAACTCCCACTAACATCTGGAGTTCCTTGTGTGTATCGTAGGATTGTTGTTTTTTCTTTGCAATGTAATAATCGGCTGAACCAACACGGGTACAGAGTTGGCCAGCTACATAGTCCATCCAAAATTAGTGTAATGTTTCGGGAGTCTATAATAATATTTTCTTTTATGTTCAGGATGATATGCTACCAAGTTCAATATATACGAACCCCCCCACCCGACTGTTTGTTAGCAATCAATGGCTCCCACTGTCTGCTTTGTTCTTTAAGTCAATATAAATCAAAATCTTCACCAGCATATTATCCCCAAGATCAAGATCGTAAAGTTTAAAAGTTATGATGAGGATTCTCACATACAACAAATTGAAAAATACAACCAACTCTTGATGGGATATAACAGGTGCTAAGTGTCGTGAAAATCGGTTCAGATTTAGATATAGCACCTATATAGTTTTTCTTCCGATTTTTTGTAAATTGTGCACTAAAGACCCAAAGTTTTTCCGATTATCACACAATTTTGTACAATGAACTGTAGTTAATAAGAGTTAATCTCTGGCAAGTCTCATTGAAATCGGTTCTGATTATATATAGAGTTGCTATATATATATATACAGCAACTCTATATCTGACCAAATGAAAAATTTAGTATAGGTTGCAGAATAACATGTTTTGGATCCATTTTCGTGTTTATGGTCCTTCAACGTCTGTTAGTGAAGGGTATCATATAGTCGGCCCCGTCCAACTTTACTACTTTCCTTACTGGTTTCAAGAATATTTTTTCAAGACGCTGATTTTTTTACAACTTTAATATTAAATATTTTAAAACAAAAATATTGTCCCCTTTCTCCAGCCTTTTTAATTACATATTTCATAAACGTTTTTGTTGTTGCGGTGTTAATAGAAGACTACAATTTTAAATATTACAACTTTCCTTCAACAATGTGCCAAGACTAAGGAACTTAAGATTGTTGGCGAAAGGATAATCTCTGTAAATATTTAACATAGCCATCTTTTCTGGTGTTGTTGCACTCAAGTTTTATCTCTTATGACTCAATACATCTTTCATCACTTTTGCCATCATCATCATCACACAATGTCTTAGTAATTTTGTTATAAAGAAATGCAACATCTAAAAGGAAGTGTGGGTGGAAGCAGACCTACGGGGACGAGGAGGATAAGTTTAATAGCAAAATGTAATTTGAAACGACTCTTGATGCTGCTCGGCTACTTAGCAAAAATGCAATTAGTAGTTGTTAATATTATGATGTAGGTATCTATGGGTATGTGTGTGAGGGATAGTTTGAGACACTATCAAAAGTTATAAAAGACATGGATTAAATCGCTTAAAACTAAGGAAAGAAAACTTGAAGTTTTCCGGAGATTACAGTTTGGTCAATTAAAGGCAATAAAGGGAAGAAGAGGATAACCATAGATTACTATCCTGTTTGTAGACAAATTTTAAATGCCGTAAAAATTGTATGTGTAAGGACTCACCTGAAACGATGCTGTAAATGCTGAAATTACTTCATAGGTATGTTCCAAAGGATGTCCAGGATCTGGATGGAATGGTGTCACAATGTACTGTAGACCCAATAAGGGGACAAGTAATAACGTTGCACTGAAAAGAGAATAAAAAGGATTGATTTATAAAAAGGATGTTTTTTTCTAGGCTTCTATAAGACGTGGATTTTATAAAGAATATTTTTTCTAGGCGTCTATAGGCGTGGATTTTATAAAGAATATTTTTTCTAGGCGTCTATAGGCGTGGATTTTATAAAGAATATTTTTTCTAGGCGTCTATAGGCGTGGATTTTATAAAGAATATTTTTTCTAGGCGTCTATAGGCGTGGATTTTATAAAGAATATTTTTTCTAGGCGTCTATAGGCGTGGATTTTATAAAGAATATTTTTTCTAGGCGTCTATAGGCGTGGATTTTATAAAGAATATTTTTTCTAGGCGTCTATAGGCGTGGATTTTATAAAGAATATTTTTTCTAGGCGTCTATAGGCGTGGATTTTATAAAGAATATTTTTTCTAGGCGTCTATAGGCGTGGATTTTATAAAGAATATTTTTTCTAGGCGTCTATAGGCGTGGATTTTATAAAGAATATTTTTTCTAGGCGTCTATAGGCGTGGATTTTATAAAGAATATTTTTTCTAGGCGTCTATAGGCGTGGATTTTTAAAGCTTAATTGAGACTTAACTAGGGCTAGGATTTGTCAAAGGAAATTTTTTTCGAAGGTTAGTCGTGGAGGAATACGAATGTATTTTCTATCAAAAAGTAGTGCTAGGGGACTACGCATTTTTTCTATAGTAAAAAAGTAGTAGAATTTTTTCTATAGAAGAAAGTAGTCCCGGGGGAACCACGATTTTTTTTCTATACAAAAAAAGTAGTCCTCGGGGACCACGGTTTTTTTCTGTAGAAAAAAAGTAGTCCTGGGGGAAAACAAGTAGTCCTAGGGGACTACGATTTTTTTTCTATTGAAAAAATTAGTCCTGGGGGCTAAGAATTTTTTCTATAGAAAAAAGTAGCGCTGGAAGACTTCGAATTTTTTCTATAAAAAAAGTAGTCCTGGGGGACTACAATTTTTTTTTCTGCTAGGTGACTACCAACTTTTGTCTGTATTAAAACATTAAAAAAATTACTCACCGAAATGCTTGTATCACTGGTCTCGAAGGACCACAACTATTTTGCAATGATGCCGGTGCCTTCAACTTCAGCAGGACAACCCGAACAATATTGCAGAGAAAGAGTAAATTAAGGAATATTGAAATGCAAACGGGTACCACCAGGATGGCACGATAATTTTTGTCATCCATCCAGCAGCTGAGATAAGAACAACAAATTTTTAAATTATTAAAAACCATTTTATGTTTAATTCATTCTTGAACTTACTGCGTATTTTCCTGAGCCGTTCCGATAAGGCCACGCACCAAACCATACACCATTATCACAATTGCCGGTGAACCCCATCCAAAGGCTATCAGCCATTTGACCAGTTTCTTTTCTGAGATGAAGGCTGATACCAGTACCGTATGCAGATAGAAGCCCTCACACAACATCCATGAATAGTTGGTTAAAAGGAAATAATGCAGGACTATGTGTAAACCCACACAAGGGGGCTGAAATGGGAGAAAAAGAGAAAAAATGTAGAAAACAAATTAGATTATTAGAAAATACTTTTACTGCTAATCCCCAAATACACATTTACATATGACATAATAAGTTTTCTTCTTTAAAAACTCTATGGCATTTATATATGGATGTTTGCAAACAAGAAAAATTCCTAATAAGTCCCAAGGATTCTCTCTTAACAATCCATGAATTATTAACTCACACATACATACACAAACAAACTAGTATTCCAAGGAAAATGGTAAAAATGAGACATCTATTTTAAAATGTTCAGAAGAAAAACAAATAATCCATAAATTGAATATTCTTATGGGAAATCAATAAGAAAACATTGTTTTGTTTTTTTGGGGAGGTGCAGGAAACACACAATGGTCTATTAACAATGGGTACAAGGCAATGAGACTTGTGGGCAATCAACAGGAAAATTGCCTTGTCTCTAAACTTAAAAAAACTAAATTGAAGCCTTACAAAAATATTCTTTAAAAAATCCACGCCTTATAGAAGCCTTACAAAAATATTCTTTAAAAAATCCACGCCTTATAGAAGCCTTACAAAAATATTCTTTAAAAAATCCACGCCTTATAGAAGCCTTACAAAAATATTCTTTAAAAAATCCACGCCTCATAGAAGCCTTACAAAAATATTCTTTAAAAAATCCACGCCTCATAGAAGCCTTACAAAAATATTCTTTAAAAAATCCACGCCTCATAGAAGCCTTACAAAAATATTCTTTAAAAAATCCACGCCTCATAGAAGCCTTACAAAAATATTCTTTAAAAAATCCACGCCTTAAAAAATCCACGCCTCATAGAAACCTTACAAAAATATTCTTTAAAAAATCCACGCCTCATAGAAACCTTACAAAAATATTCTTTAAAAAATCCACAACTCATAGAAGCCTTACAAAAATATTCTTTAAAAAATCCACGCCTCATAGAAGCCTTACAAAAATATTCTTTAAAAAATCCACGCCTCATAGAAGCCTTAAAAAATATTCTTTAAAAAATCCACGCCTCATAGAAGCCTTATAAAAATATTCTTTAAAAATATTCTTTAAAAAATCCACGCCTCATAGAAGCCTTACAAAAATATTCTTTAAAAAATCCACGCCTCATAGAAACCTTACAAAAATATTCTTTAAAAAATCCACGCCTCATAGAAACCTTACAAAAATATTCTTTAAAAAATCCACGCCTCATAGAAGCCTTACAAAAATATTCTTTGAAAAAATTCGGGCCCTACAAAAATATTCTTTGAAAAAATTCAGGCCTTACAAAAATATTCTTTAAAAAATCCACGCCTCATAAAAGTCTTACAAATATATTCTTTAAAAAAATTCAGGCCTTACAAAAATATTCTTTAAAAAATCCACGCCTCATAGAAGCCTTACAAAAATATTCTTTAAAAAATCCACGCCTCATAGAAGCCTTACAAAAATATTCTTTAAAAAATCCACGCCTCATAGAAGCCTTACAAAAATATTCTTTAAAAAATCCACGCTTCATAGAAGCCTTACAAAAATATTCTTTAAAAAATCCACGCCTCATAGAAGCCTTACAAAAATATTCTTTAAAAAATCCACGCCTCATAGAAGCCTTACAAAAATATTCTTTAAAAAATCCACGCCTCATAGAAGCCTTACAAAAATATTCTTTAAAAAATCCACGCCTCATAGAAACCTTACAAAATTATTCTTTAAAAAATCCACGCCTCATAGAAGCCTTACAAAAATATTCTTTAAAAAATCCACGCCTCATAGAAGCCTTACAAAAATATTCTTTAAAAAATCCACGCCTCATAGAAGCCTTACAAAAATATTCTTTAAAAAATCCACGCCTCATAGAAGCCTTACAAAAATATTCTTTAAAAAATCCACGCCTCATAGAAGCCTTACAAAAATATTCTTTAAAAAATCCACGCCTCATAGAAGCCTTACAAAAATATTCTTTAAAAAATCCACGCCTCATAGAAGCCTTACAAAAATATTCTTTAAAAAATCCACGCCTCATAGAAGCCTTACAAAAAAATTTTATAAAAAATCCACGCCTCATAGAAGCCTTACAAAAATATTCTTTAAAAAATCCACGCCTCATAGAAGCCTTACAAAAATATTCTTTAAAAAATCCACGCCTCATAGAAGCCTTACAAAAATATTCTTTAAAAAATCCACGCCTCATAGAAGCCTTACAAAAATATTCTTTAAAAAATCCACGCCTCATAGAAGCCTTACAAAAATATTCTTTAAAAAATCCACGCCTCATAGAAGCCTTACAAAAATATTCTTTAAAAAATCCACGCCTCATAGAAGCCTTACAAAAATATTCTTTAAAAAATCCACGCCTCATAGAAGCCTTACAAAAATATTCTTTAAAAAATCCACGCCTCATAGAAGCCTTACAAAAATATTCTTTAAAAAATACATTATAAAAATTCTGATCTGATTCTGATTGTATTTTTTAGTGCCTCAAATTATTTAGTTTTTTTATTAAAACTTACGGGACTACTTTTGACGATATCATGATTAGGTACCACAACCAAATACCACACTAACCACAGAGAGTTATTGGCAGCGAACGATGAGAAGAGATTCATGTGCAGGGTGATGCGGGCACATTTTAAAGATCTGAAATGAAAAACAAAAATTGAAATTGATTGAAAAAAATTGAATAACAGAAAATCATCTTAAATTTTGGTGGCCACATATAAAATGCAGTGAACTTAAATTATTGCAACATGACCACTTCGCAGCTACCTCCTCCTCAATGCATATTTCATGATTTCGTTATGGTCAAAGGTCATATGGGGGCGTATGATAGTCCGACATGTCACTTTATAAATCATACGCATACGTTATGGTGGTCAAACACAACAATAACAACAACTACAATAGTTTGTTATTCCATAGCTGATGATAATAGAGGTTGTGTAAATCGGGTAACACAGTTCACACTTTGTGGGGCTATTTGTTACACTTTAACCACTGATTTGTGGGGTGGTGGTGGTGCAAAGGAAGTTGAATTTAAATTTATTACAGCAGATAAAAGAAAAGCTGGAAAATTGTGTTGTAGTGCGAAGGAAAGCAAACTTAATATATTGTCAGGATATACACAAGAAGAAGAAGATGAACAACAGCTGGCTGGCAGTTAATATTAATAGTATCATCTGTCGTCGAATCTTCGAAGAGTTAATACAGGTAGGTACTCTATTAAGTTATCTGCTAGCAAAGGCTGTGAATGATTTTATTTATTTGCGAATTAAATCTGAGATAAATTTTTATAGGAGGGTGACAGGAGAATTCAAAGAGAAATTGGGTTAATTCTTAAAGACTCGACAATAATTTTCCACATTTTGAAATAAAAGTCGGATATACCATACATTATATATATATATATACAGAATCAGAGCAAAATTCCATCCTAAGCTGAAGCTTTGGGCCCTTAAACTCCTTAACGGACTTCTTTTAAAAAACAGACTGTAAAGGAAAGGAAATGTAAAGGAAAATACAAAAGCAACATTTGGGTACCAAAAATCACCACCAAGAAACCCATGGTACGATCAGGAGTGTCATAATGCTACTTGTGTGAAAAACGCAGCGTATAGGGCAACCCTGCAGACAGTAGCAACACGTAATGTGATGGAGAAATATCGGGAGGAAAGGAGAGAGGAGAAACGTGTTTTCAGAAAAAAGAACAAGAAAAACGTGAGCGTGAGCAATTCGAGATGTACAGGAGTCAGAATGAAGTCCGAAAATTTTACCAACGAGTAAAACACCAAACCGAAGGCTTTGGTGCAGGCACATCCTCCTGTAGAGATGAAGAAGGAAACCTGGGGACATATACTGACAGCGCGCTGAGGATCTGGAAGGGGCATTTTGAATAACTTCTAGTATCAAATTGTTGAGGTAAAGAGGATACCCCAGAACCAATAATAGATGACGGTATAGAGTGTATACCACCTAGCCAAGATGAGGTCAGAATAGCAATCAATCGGCGGAAGAAAAATAAAGCAGCAGGTGCCGATAGTTTACAAGCCGAATTATTCAAGACTGGTGGTCAGATGCTGGTAAGGAGCATGCACTAGCTTTTTAGTACAATTTGGCTAGAGAAAAGCATGCCCAATGATTGGAACCTCAGCATCCTGTGTCCCGTGCACAAAAAAGGAGACAAGACGATATGTGCCAACTATAGAGGGATAAGTCTCCTTCCCATCGCATATAAAGTGCTATCCAGTGTGCTGTGTGAACGACCGAAGCCAATGGTCAATGACATTATTGGACCATACCAATGCGGCTTCAGACCAGGCAAATCCAACATTGACCAGATTTTCACTCTGCGCCAAGTCCTGGGAAAAAATCCCACGAATAACACATCGACACATTCCACCTATTCGTCGACTATAAAGACGCATTCGACAGCCTTATCCGTTTAGAGGTGTATAAAGCCATGTCTGCGTTTAGCATTCCTGCAAAATTAATACGGCTATGCAGGATAACTTTAACTGGCACATGATCAGCAGTTAAAGTCGAAAAGGACCTATCAGAGCCCTTCAATATCGAACGAGGCTTCAGACAAGATGACAGTTTGTCGTGTGACCTTTTTAACATCCTGCTGGAAAAGGTCATACGAGTGGCAAAAGTTAACAGAAATGGCACTCTGTACACCAAACAACATATGTTACTCGCCTACGCCGATGACATCGACATAATGTGTCGAACACTGAGAGCGGTAACAGCCACCTTTGAACAAATTGAGAAGGTGTCTGCCAAAGTGGGTCTGGTAGTAAACGGCGAAAAGACCAAGCTGATGGTATTAACGCGCAAGACGTCCAGTAGTCTCGGACCAACTGTGGAACTTGAGAACTGCAGCTTCGAGGTAGTCAAAGATTTTATATACCTTGGTACCGCCATAAATAAAACGAATGACGTCAGTTTTGAAATTCGGAGAAGGATAATGATGGCCAACAGATGCTACTATGGTCTGAGCAAACAACTCAAAAGCAAGGTCACCTCCCGCCAGACCAAACTCACACTCTACAAGACGCTGATATTACCCGTGCTGTTTTATGGATCTGAAGCATGGGTACTTGCGCAAGCAGATGAGGCAGCTCTTGGAGTGTTTGAGAGAAAAATTTTACGAAAGATCTATGCGCCGATCTGCGTTGACGGTGAATATCGCCGTCGAATGAACTATGAGTTGTACCAGCTATTCTCGGACATCGACATTGTTGGACGTATTGAGCTGCAGCGACTACGTTGGCTAGGTTATGTTGTGAAAATGGATGAAGATGCCCCAGCCCAAAAGGCATATAAAAGCGAACCAATACATAGCAGAAGCGTGGTCTTTTTAAAGGACATTTTTTCAAGGCTTATCAGAGGAGTACATTTTTATACCCTACTCAACTATGTTGTCAGGGTATTATAGCTTTGTGCAGTCCCAAAAGTTTGTAACACCGCGAAATATTGGTCCTAGACCCGCCTTTAAGTATACCGATCGTCATATCTCGACTAGCTGAGTCGATCTAGACATGTGTATCCGTCCGTCTGTCCATTATAATTTGTAAACACGATACAGGCCACAGTTATGGAACAATCTTGTGGAACAATCTAAATATTCTTTCCCAAAAAGATCGGTTAATATTTAGGGGATGAAATGGACCAAATACTAAATTTTTGTAGGTTTTTCTGGTCGCTCCAGAGGCCGGGGTCGGGCCAAAGAATAAGCATGCCTGTTTTGATAAAGATCGGTCAATATTTAACGGGTCAAATGGACCCCGACTTTTGTGTGAAAAATGACAAAATTTTTATTCTATAGCGTATATATTTACCTCTGAAGGACATAGAACCGAGAAGTTGATATTATATCCAAGAGGAGTGGTTGACCGCTATATCGCTTTGAAATGTTCCATGAGGTTCTAGTTATGGTCAAGGACAACGCTTATAATTTTCGGTGATGATCAGATAATAATTTTGGAATGAAGTGGACCGAAAACTTAATTTTTTGTGTTATTTTCGAGTCGATCTATAGACCACAAATGAAAGCCGAACATCACAACACAACCCACGGTGAAGGGAATCTGGACAATAGCTGTACTAAATACTCGTAATATTCGGAAAATATGTCAGTGTGAGGAAGAGCTGCTGTTTATCTCTAATCGGGCAAGACGGTGCAAATATCACGAAATATTGCCCAGGCTCGGAATAAACATCCGCAGAACATTTGAGTTCCGTGGTAGTTGTGTAGGGTATCGTATGGTCGGCCACGTCCAACTATACTGCTCCGCTCACTGGTTCAAAATCTATTTGTTCCATCAGAGGAGTAAATTTTTTAAAGTCTATATGTTTCAATGTTTATCAGAGGAGTAGATTTTTTTACAGAATTTTTTTTTTCAAAGCTTAAAGTAAGAAATTAGTATACATTCCTACATAATCTGATGATGATGCTCTATAAGGACTTCTTTTAGTAATCTACTAAAACAGCTTTTCAGGTATTTATAACGGAATATTTGGTATAGATTCCATTCTTGGAGTCTATGCAGATTCATTTCTGGCTCTCTATGAATCCATAAAATTTTGAATTGTATCCTCCAATTCCCTGGTAACATTTAAAAAAATAATTTAATATTGTCATTGTTTCCCCTCTCTACATATCCCTCCACAAGGCGGGCGTAAAAAAATTAAATTTATATATTTGTCAGCAAGTAGGCCTAAGTGTTTCAAATTGTATTTATCTTTTTTGTTGTTGTTTTTTTACCACATCTCAACATAAATACATGTTACAAACACCCTCACACATGTCGAGATACTCTCATTTCACACCAGTTATGATGGTTGGTGTTGATGTTGACATGCCGTGAAATTCCCCATGATAAGGACATTGTTTCAAGTAACATGTTTTTTTTGTTTTTGTTGTTGCTGTGCTTGTTTTTTGCCTTTGTCTTTGTTTGTTTTGTTGGTTTGCTTTTAATATGTTTAAGTACTGCCATTGGAAGAGGCCCAAAACGTATGGCAAGGATGCAAAGAGGTGAGGAAGGTTGGTTTGTCTTGTGGCACATTGCAAAACTTTTTTCTTGTGTTCATAAAAAAATAACAACAACAGCAACAATAAATGTTAAGTATGTAAAAACCACAAAGTTCAAACAGTTATGAACTTTAAAAATTAAGGAGTGACTTTGTGTAGCATTTATTGAAGGGCATAATTAAAAAGGAAAATAAAATGGAGAAGATGTTACGTCTAGGGCCAACAATATTAAAGTCAATGGCCACAGAAAGTTCACATCACTTAAAGAGTTCATTAATTGATGGAGTTAATTAAGGAATTAAATAATTTGATAATTTGTTCTTGCAATAATATTTAACACACATTTCAAGTTTTCAGACGCATGGGCCATTTGGGACCACTCTGCCCTGGAGCATAGGCATAAAAATAAACTTTAATTTTTTTCCTACGAAAAATTCCATGAAATCATATCAAAATATATTTAATAGATAACAGTCAGTTTAAATTTAATTTCATCTTAAATTATAAATTAAATTTAATTACACTAATCTTCTCAGCCTGATACCGCCTGTACAAGAAATTTAAAATAGCTACTGGATTATTTTTTCTAATTTAATTTTAATTTTCT